AAACAAACAAACAAACAAACAAACAAACAAACAAACAAACAAACAAACAGGCACTTAATACAGTATATTTGCAAATAAACATTTAACAGGCAACAGAAATGGCTACTCACTAAGCTATATTTTTCTTTGCCATTTGTGTTTCTTTGCTAATATCATAATGTGGCTTTTCAGAATTCCAGGCAATTCAATCATACACAAGTGACTTCATATATAATGTCTTGTATTCTGACAAGATAACTTTACATCCAATGCCCAGGGTCAGCTCACAGCCCTCCACACCACTTAAAAGCAATTTAAGATAAGACCACAGTATCAAATCAGTCCTTCACTTGAGGACACAGAAGTCCTGAAAACAGACCGGTTGCAAGGGGAGGAAGAGAGGCAGGATCTGGGGAGGCCAACCCTGGGCTGAACATCTACTACATGCTATGAAGCCCAGCTTCATTAGGGCTCCCTATGCAGTGAGGCACAGGGTGTTTGGGAAACAAGGCCAGAGTGGGAGGCTGCTTCAGACATCCCAGGAGAATGCAAGTGATCTAAACTTGGAATTTCCAAGCCACAGAAAATTCCAACATTTAAAAACTAATATTCCAAATCTAAACAAAAACTAGAAATTTTGACATTATCCATGGAAAGCAAATGCCAACATTTTTTGGTCTCGAAAATTTGAAATGTTTCCATTCAATTTTTCAAAAACAAAATGGAGCAGCCAGCTGTCCTGACACACTGCCTTGGCTCCTGGGGACTCCCCCATCTGCCTTTGCCTCTGAGGGACACCTTGGGCTGCTCCCAAAGGGATCAGACTGGGCGTTGCCTGGAGTTGGGAGTAGCTTGGGAAGTCCCCCAGAGTCTAGAGAGTCCCACGCCATGGAGTGGGGAGCCTAGAAGTCCTAAGAGTCCTGTCTCAAGGTGAAGCACTCAGGGTTCCCAGCTATGCAGCGGGGAGCCTGAAAGTCCTGGTGTCCCAACTCCAAGGCAGTCAGCATGGTGGGGCTACCCCAGGACCAGGGAACCTGGAAGCCTAGGCTTCCCAGCAGCCCACCAGGTGAACTGGCAAGGAACCAGGTAGGTTTTCATCAGAACCCTCTGTGTGTTTTGGCAGACGTTCATTGAAAATGAAACATTTCTGTGATATGCAGTGTTGTTGTAGCTGGGTCGGTCCCAGGATATTCGAGAGAGAAGGTGGGTGAGGTAATATCTTTTATTAGACCAATTTTTGTTGATGAGAGAGACAAGCTTTCGAGCCACACAGAGCTCTTCTATTTGCCAGACCTGAAGAAGAGCTCTGTGTGGCTCAAAAGCTTCTCTCTTTCACCAACAGAAGTTGGTCCAATAAAAGCTATTACCTCACCTAACACATTTCTGTGAAACATCTAGGTATCAGTGAATTGGCATTTTCCAATGAAAATCCATTTTGTTTGAAAATTCTTGACCATCTCCACAGGAGACTCCTTCCCCTGTTATCCCAATGTGAATCTCTGCAGTGCCTAGCTGAGACACTCAGGCTGGGTGCAGGGGTGTTAATTTGCCTCTCAGTGCAAGGCTGAACTGGTGCTGAGAGTCTTACTAAACCCCTCTGCCCTTGAATTCCACCCACAATACATCACATGAAACAAAGAATGAGAACAACACATACTGTTTTCCCAATCTCCTTTATCTTTCTGTATGTGGAATATTCTGCAAATGGGATGTTTTGTTTCCTTATAATATCCGTAAGACCTTCTGCACGGACACCAACCTAATAAAAAAACAACACTGTGCATGAGAGGGTGCACTACAATACAGTTAAAACACACTGTTAGTGAAGAAATACATTCGTCAAAAATAAACTTTAATACAATCTGTTATTGGCTTAAATATAATATTTACCTCTAGCAAACTAGTAGATGCACCTGCATAGTTTACAATCAAACTGGAAATTAAAGCTGATGGGAACAATGTTCTTGGACTGTTCATAAGGAAGATCTTTCCAAATGCACCAGCCTGATAGCGACCTGTAGTAGAAATTAAAAACAAGACAGTGCTTTGTTGTTGTTCTATTGACTTCTGGGGATGTCAATCTGTAGCTGATAATCCTTTTTTCGTAAGGTGTATTCTCATGAAGATTTTCAACATTTAGGTCCTGACATAGCAAACGTTTACGAGCAAGTATCTTTATACACGAATATACCACTGAAATCGATGAGATACTCAAATGCATAAATGTTTGCAGGACTGCGATGAAATTTTGTACTAACAAATGCAGTGAAACTATTTGATCAAACTTAAATATTCTAAGTACACTTTATTGCAGTAAGAGGCATTTTACAAGAAAGTTAGAGAGCTGGTAAGATAATTTGTAACGACAAATATACTCTAATAATTCTTCATAAAAAAGAAACACAGTAAACTTTTCAGAATTCAGACACAGAAAATATCTTTTACAACTAATTAAATACTCCTTTCATAACTTTTTAAAACCTTCCAGCCATTCCGAAAGGAAAGAACTCTTACAGATAGAATCCAAGTTAAGTTCAGAATGATTTACATTAGTTCTCCAAATGACTGGAAAATGGTGTTTCAATGACGGACACTCCCAGTAGATTAATTTTTTTTACTCACTGTAGTAACCACCAAGATGAATAACTTTACTGTAACGATAGCTCTGTCTGTCAAGTCTGGGGCTCAGCAGTTTAATGGCAATGTTGCAAGCAGCAGATCTTTTAAAAAAATGGATAAAAATATATAAAAGTAAGCTAAATTTTACCAGAGTAATTTGAGTCAGCGTGTGTGCATGTATGTGTATATATATATAATTTTACTTACAAGACTGTGATAGAAATTGTACTTCACAGATAATGTACAGTTTTACTTCTCTCTCTACTTACACATTATAGAAGCGTGGGAATCCAATTCTTGACAAAGCTTTCATGTGGGAATATACAAAACTGGCAACTTGCATATTGGTCTCTTTCAGTATCACGTTAGCCATAGTTATTACCAGAGGAAGTGCAGGCCCAGTTTCAAATATGACAACGCAAGCCATCATTCGGACTTCAGGAGGAAGTGAATGATCCACAAAGATCTGGAGAAGAATGTCCTGCACCTGGAGAGGGAAAATATAATTTCATAAGTGTCTGATAACTTCTAAGGTGGGTATTCTCTCTATCAGATTCAATGTATAATTTGTATCAACAAATCACACATCCATAATAAAGGGAGAATAGAACCTCAGGTGTAACCTTTTTTCCACTGCATGAGTTGATGCACAAACATTAAAGAAAAATGTTGGGATGTAATGAATAGCTCTTGAGAAAATGCCATGACTAGTGAGACAAATTTATCTGTGGTGTAACTCCAATGGCTTTGTGAATTTGATCCCAGGTGTTCACTGTCATTTAGACCACTTTAGTGAGGGGTGATCCAGTAGCAGACCAATGACAATGTGTGACTAATATAAGATGTCACATAAAATGACAAGTGACTAAAGAAACACCATTATTTCTACCTCCCAACAATTACAGTGCCCAGCACAATCAGACCCTGATATCACTTGGGGCTCTAATATTGTGATACTAATAACAATAAAGAATTGTTCTGAATTCACAAACACTGCACCACTGAACTCACTTTCTCCCTGGCATATATTCTTCATATCTCATTATTCAGCTAAACTATCATTGATTCTGCTTACCTTTCTGGAGTCCTTCAAGCCTATCTGCCTCAAGGCCATCACAGCTTCGACCTGAATATGGACTGGGAAATTAGAAGCACCAGATGAAAACATTGGTAAGAACTTCAGGATGCGCTTGATACTGGCTGGTTCTCCTGCATTGCCAATGGCTTTCAGAGCTAATACAATGTCATCTTCATTGCCCTTGCTGGCTGCCTCGGCTGCAAGGTCATGGAGGGGCTGCAAACAAAGCACAGTTCAAAATTCATGCATACGCATATTGTTATCCTCACACACTGAAACCCTATGACCATAATGCAACTGACACGCTTACAAATATTCAGTGATCTCCTCAGGATTTAGTCTAAATTAGCTATGTATTCAGGGGTGATGAAGACTTCCAGGTTGGTATCCCTTGGCTACTAAGGAAGCTTCTGGAATGAACATTTGTAAATTAAATCACTGTGTATATCTCGGACCATGTTTTCTAGAATAAAAATGATCAGGTCTCATTGCAGTTTTATCTTTCTTATCTTTTTAAGCTGTTAAAAACAACCTGAAATGAAAATCACCTACCTGAAGAGCTTCATTAGGGCAAGATGAAGCCAGAGAACAGTATCTGTTTACCATGGAAGCATATCCCAAATAAGCAATCTGGCGAAGCATGGGAATTCTCTCAAGTCGGGAGCTGGTCACTAGATCCTGCAGAAGGAAAAGAGGCACCTCTTTAAATCAGGGTTATGTTCACCTTACCTTTCAGATAAGGACAATTACTTAGGATTCATCTAGAAAAGTTATTTAAAATTGAATATCTTTCACTTTCAATAAAATTAAATCAAGCCAGTAAAATATTTTACACACGCTTGAGCTAGATCCACAGCTAATGTAAATCAACATATCGCCATTAACTTAAATAGAGCTATGCTGATTTACATCAGCTGAAGATGTGGCCTAAGAAAGGCAGGATACAAAGTACAAAGGACATGGGCAGGAGCCAATCTACAAATGGAATTTCTCTGGAAGAGTCTGTAACTTTTTATTATATTAAAGAATCGTGCTCACTTCATATTCTGTGTTTTCTTATGTTAAAGAATAGGAATATTAACTAGAAACAGAAGAAAGTCTACTATATAATAGATGGTTGTATCAACTGTATGTAAAGAGTTTGGTGTTTTAATTTTGATAATATTTCACCTACAATACTTTTACTTTATTCCGGTGTCTAGGAATGTTATGTAATTACTCTGGACTGGAAAATGTAATGCTTAAAAGAGCTATTCAAATTATCTGACTCATCCATCACCATTAATTCTTTAGAATTAACAGAAAAAGATGAACTGAGGTTTGATGTCAGAAGAGAGAATATATGGGCCAAGAAAACTAAAATGAGGATAACAATATAGGGTAGGTGTGGGAGTTAATTTTTAATGCCTGCATAACAAATTGAAGATATAGGACCCAATTCCCCTCTCATACAGGCAGCTGTCAATTGAAGTAACAGAGATATTCTGATACAAAATGAGTGTAAGTGAGAGAAGAATCTGGCCCCTGAAGTGCTATAAAATCACTAGTTATTATCAATTGTTATCATGATGATGTGACCAGGAAAGGATCCTGTATATTGTACTCACTGCTGCTACTGCAATAGTATGACCATCCGCTTTTGTTAAATGGAGGGCAACAGAAACAGTCAGAAGTGCCTCAATGTACTTAAAGTCATCATTGCGAATTCTCAGCTTAAGGAACTTCAGTGAATCAATGGTGCCTGCCATAGTAATTCCACTCAGCAGCCAAATCCTGCAGCCAGGGTACAAAATCCATACATTTAGCTCTCTCTGCTCCTTGTACAAGACATGTCAATTGTTAGTGACACAATCAGTCATTACCTGTGATGAAATTTATCTGAAAATTGCTTAAAGACAGACTCCAAGGTATCAGGACTTGCTACCCGACACAGTTGGATAAGCTCTAAGAATTTGTATGGAGCATCCCCATGGAGCTCTTGCTGGTTGTCCTGGATTACTTGTTGCAATGTTTCCACGATCTGAGGATAGAAGGCAGAGGGAATATGCTAATTAGTTGCTTCTCCGTTGAGTTTGTAATAATATATTGATCTTTTATTAGTCTGATAAATGGCAAAGCAGCTTAATAAACTAAGCATTCTATACCCGTTGCTCAGGGTTTTTCGTCTTGATTAGCTGAATTGGCATCTGGAGCAGTAGTGGTGAGAAATGATAAGGCAGGCCTCCACAGTTCTGCAGCTGAATTTCTGGAGGGCTCACACGTTCATTTTTCACTTCAACCAAGGTAAGTTCTTGTCTGGAAGGAAATAAAGAGAAATCAACGTGTGTCATTTGGAGGAATAAGCTGTCTAGCTGCATCCACCTGACTTCACTGCTTTGGCTGTACAGTGGGGATATGGATAGTTCTTTATTTGTTTTTTCTATCACAAAAGATTTTACAATTTCTTGGGGTTATGGTCTTTTCAATGGAACAGAATACTGTCAGGAGATAATGAGTATCTGCAATGAGATAACTGTTGAACTGGAGCTGAATTGTTAAGTGGAGCCGAATTGTTATTTTCCAAAGCAAGAGATACTGGTTTTATGATAACATAACATTTATAGTGATTTTATTCTGTGTGTGCCTCATGTTCATTTTGACTCAGGGGATGTTGGTGCTATAAAGCGGCACTTTCTCAGTGGAATTGTTGAACAGAAGTACTCCCATGGATTTAGGAAGCAGAATTATTTTTCCACTTTTTTCTCCTTTAATTACAATAAAGTTCAATTTACATGCAGCAAAAAATTATTGTTAGTGCAAAATTTCCACAGCTTTTTTGGGTGGGTGGGTGGGTGGGAGTAGAGTATGAATACCTGCAACTTTATCAGCTGCCATTTAAGACAACTTCCATTTACTTCACGTGGGAGCAAGATCAGACTGATGCCTTTACACTTATTTTCACTTTCACCTCTGAGGCTTACCTTGCCTCCGTGACAGCAACACCAGTGGGTTCATTGAAAGGGGAGATCTGATAGACTTGCTGGGACACAGCTTCTGTGATCAGGGTACCAGAATCTGCATATTTCAATTTGTAGGTGAATGCAGCAGTTCCTTTTACAACCTTTTCTTTCTAAAAGAGCAAAGAAACTCATGTAATGAATGAGACTAAACCATGGTTTTACTCATTTTTAGAGTGGATCTGTTTAGATTATTCATACCAATGGGCAAGAAGGACAAGGGCGGATGAAAGTCATTCCAATATCCTTCACCACTTTATCCTGGCAGTTGTTGAGGTCTTTGGTTTTGGTAACAGAGACACGGTTATTCCTCCTGTCGTCCTGGATAACATACCTTGTAAGGCAGACGCCTCCAATCCCAGCCTATAGAGAATGATAGAAAATAATTGGGCTTTGTAGTTATATCAGGTCTGCATGACAGGAAGAACATTCCCCTGAACTGAGATTTAAAGCGAAAATGAAATTTAATAAGACTATATGGAAACCATTTCTTAATTAAGTGTCAAAGCCTGCTCTCATTACGCACATGAGTAGTACCACTGAAGTAAGCAGGAATACTCAGATGAGTAAAGGCTGCAGGATAGAGACTCAATTTAGGAAATAATCACCTAATTGATATAACCAATTCAATGAACACTGATAGATTAGACAGAACAGGGTAAATGAGGAAGATATACAATAAATATCTCAATGTCTAATAATTACCTTTATTTTTTCCCTTAGTCTTCCATTTTATAGAGTACACATATAGAGAATGTAATAGACAATCTGCCAGAAACGATCACCTTCATATATAAATGTATATTTTCTTTTGTCCAAATGAAAATATTTTAATATTTTTGTGCTTGTTGAGTGAAATTTTAAAATAAATACAAATAAACTATAAGCAAGAGTTTTAATTGACTGAAAAACATTTAATAATAACAAGTGATGCTTGGGCACATGCAGCAAACTAGCTTGAAACTGGAGAAACAAACCTCTTGCAATTCATATGCATTCTGTGACTTTTTCATAGTTATCTGCAACATGTTCAGCATTCCTCTCAGTAGGTTAATGCACGTGATGGGGGTATCTTCTGGGGCATAAATGTTTCCAACCCGCCCATTGCTGTATTCAAACGTAAAGGGTTTGGTGAGATACGAAGCGATCGTCTGAGTGAGTTTGGAAGCTCGAATGAATGGATCTCTGGGCCAGATCCCATTGTATTCCTCCAGCTGTGGAGATCGGATCTGAGAACAAAATTCAGAAAATGCATTGGTCTCCGTTCTGTGAGCGAAAATATTTTTAAAGTATATACTGTATACAGAAAATAACTAGGGAAAGAATTAACATTGTTATACATGGTTTACTCTGAATATAGACTGCAGAGGCCGTCTTCTGTGCTGTTTGTACAGCACCTAATACAATGGGATCCTTGCCTGTGATGGCTGGGGGCTTTTAGGCACTATGGTAATACAAATAATAAATAAAAATAATATATAGAGATAAATACATAGAACTTGATTCTTCCCACTCGCTCTTATATTGATGTAAGACCAATATACCTCCATTGAATCTGGCCCACTGAGTATATTATATATTAAAGAAAAAAGCTAAAAACATTTGAATTACCTCTTAATAATATTTTTTTTTAAATCTATTCGCATCAACCACTTTGAGCATAAAGTTGAATAGAAAACCCAACACAGATTTTTAGTTTTACATAATAAGTAACTGCGCAGTACAAAGTGAGAAGAACTACTTTAGGATCCTATTTCATAAGCCCTTGTTTAGGCAATGCTCCCACTGAATCAACAGGAGCTTCAGCTTTGCCTGACTATTGAATAAGTAAGAGTGCTGAATAACATAAAAAGTAAGTTGGCTAGAATTGTTATTATTACGTATAAATTAAGGACTTGCCTCTGCTCCTAATGACTTCCATGGGAATTTGGAATGTGTCAGGATTGCCAGATCAAAACCTTAAATGAGATCAGGATTGGACCCCTGGTGTTGCAGGCCAAGGTTCTCAGAAATGACTAGTGATTTTTGGTGCCTCCATTTTTGGATGCTGTCACCTGACCTCTGAAAATCAGATCACATTAAGGCGTCTCAAGTTGAACACTCCAAAATTGAGGCACCCCAAATCACTAGTCACTTTTGAAAACGGGAGCCATAACTCACAAGTCATTTCCCAGTCCCTAAAATCTTCAAAGCTCTTTTCTCCATTGCTTTTTTCCTGTGGCTGCCTACAACATTCAGTAACCCAAGTGTTGCTTTAACCTGACTTGGTATTCAATGCTGTTGTTATTTGATCTCCTTTGGAAATAGTGCAGTCTACCTTGAGGAGGTGCTTCCTCTGTGACAATACGCTGATCTCTAATTTACAGGACAGTCTCAGCCCAGCTCTTGCCAAACCAGGTTCTGGCAGTCCATTCAGGGTAAGGCCCTCATAGTTGTACAAGTAGATCTTGCTGCTACTAAAATCAGGCTCTGTGAAAAATGATACAAATATTCACTTTTAGTAATAATTTAAAAGACATTCTGCTTCGTGGTCATTATGACAAAGGCATTGAATGAAGCTTAAGAAATGAACAGTAGACTTACCAGGGTCATACTTTTCACTCCCTGTGAAAAGAAATCAAATGGATACATGAATAATGGCAAACAAATTAATTTTGAATTTAATTTTTTGACTCCACTATAAAAACCCAGCAAAGACTAACAGAGAAGGGCTATGTAAACTTACCCACAAGGGTGAACGCTAGCGCTAGTATGATTCCCCTCATGATGAAGGTGAATGAAGACCTCCTCAGGCATCATGAGGCTTTTATAGAAAAACCATCACTAGCACATGGCCACTGCTAAGCTGTATTTTGCTGATTTTTCAATTTGTTATCAGTTTATGCAAACAGTTTTCTTTTTGCAACCATATTGACTTTTGAATGGGAGGAATCCTGGACAGACCATGCCAGGCTCATTGAAATCATATTATTTAAATCTTTGACAGACAGCTTAAGAGTATCTCTTGCTTTTCCTAAAGTTCTTTAAAACAAATTAAAAATACATATAATATGTTACTTTATTTGGTAGATTTGTTCATGGCTGCTTGCCTGTCATTGATTCTACCACAGATTAAGATGACTTTGCCCTGGTTATTCTGACCTGGCATATGATACAAAATGTTATCTAACTGATAATGACTCAGTGAGCAAGCAGTATTAAGTGTGACAACTGTCTTTTTCTTATTTCTTGATTTGCCAAAATGTTAAAATAATATAACATTATGGATTTTACTTAAAAGCCCAGTTCCTAGATTATTCTCTATGCTGCTGCGTCACATGAATTTTTGAGGTTCTTATTCCTGTTAAAGTCAGGTTCTAGATTTATGTGTAAAAGGGATAGAATTAGGGTACCAGGCAATTTATAGATTATAGTGATGGGCATTTTCCCACATTAGTATAGTTCATTTGTAAATTATTATGGCTATGCAAATATGGCAGTTGAAGTGCAACTTTAAAAATGTATTATTTGCTTTGTTAGTACTTAGATGCTCATTGTGTTAGAGATGGTACAAACACATATGAAGACAGTCCCTACCCAGTAGAATTTACAATCTAAATAGCTAAAACAGACGGTGCCTGGAAAGAAGGGAGTATTATCAAATCCCCATTTTACAGATGGGAAAATTAAACACTGAGCATGAAATCCTGGTTCCATTGGAGTCAATGGCAAAAATCCCATCGATTTCAATGGGGCCAGCATTTTATTCAGAGAAATTAAGTGATTTGCCACGGTCATACCTGAAATCTGTGAGAGAGCTGAGAATTGTCCATTGCCTTAATCCCAAGACCTTACTTCAATAGCGGTATGAACACATATGTAGTTGCACATTTTTTGGACATGACATTGGCCTCCACTTTTTATTCTGAGGGCCATACTTTTATTCAGTATTCAGAATTATATAATATTTTACTAAGACTATCTTCTTTTTCTGTTACTTTTCTTTTCTCAGTGCACTTGATGTGTCCATGATATCACCAACCACAAGAAGCCCCCTCTGGAAGTCTGCAGCTGGAATACAAGATTGGTTTGTTCCTTTCTGGTCAGATTATAAACAAATTTGTCCTTGTCTTTAGCAATATTAAATTTGCCCTGTCTCTCAAGGTGGTCTTTCAGTTAACCTAAGGTGGCTACCTTAGCATTTAAAATGATTTTCAGCCATTAAGTCTAAAGTGCTTTTGCCAAGCAACATTAAGAGAAAATAGGTCTTGGCAACCAGCCAATCCTGGCACAATGGGACACACAGAGCTGGCCGATGGTTTTCTAGAACAGATTGGAGGGTTGGTGACTGGATCCAGTTTGGCCATAAAAGTGCCTCTTGCCCCAGCAGGTTTACATCCTACCTTCACACAACATGCCATGGCCTCCCCTCCAGGCCTGCAACTAGGGACAAAGCCCCAGATGGCAGAAAATTTTAAATCAATATGCAATCTGGTGACCAAATATGGAAGGGGTTGGCTGGTGGGGTAGGCCAGCCAGGGTGGAAGATCCCAAGTAGTTAATATCAGACAGTACAGAGCAATCATACTGAGCTGTTGTAATCAGTTTACACAGTATTTCACTGTTCAGAACTCCAGTTAGCCGTGTTTTCATGCATGTATGTTGGAGCTCTGCAACTCACTGCTTTGTTAAACAATGAGTGGAAAACATATAGAGCTCCTCTATGGCCAGCCCTTACATTGCCTCACAGTGAGGTGAGGGAGTAAAAAGTCTCTCCCTTTGCTCAGCCCGTGTAAGGTGTGGCCAGAAACACAGCCCTTTATGACTGTCCTTTGGGGGGAGAACAGGGCCTACTATCAAGCTGTTTCCATGTGAAAGCAGCACTCCAGAAAGGGGGCAGAGAGCCAGCTACCCACTCTGGTGTGAGGAGAGGATGCTGCTCCCCTTAGAAGAAGCATTACAAAACTTACGCCACCCCATGGAGCTTGAATTTTGAGAAAGAATTCCTCCTGTGTTCCCCTTGGAGTGGTATGCCTCCACACTGCCCTTTACTACACCTGGAAAGAAGGGAGTATTATCAAATCCCCTGTAATTTCTATGCACATCCAGAGATTTTCTAATTCTTTTAACTTCATTATTTCTAAGCCAATTTTATTCAGTCATGTCACAGGAATACTTCTCAGGCAAGTTTAAAAAAAATTTTTTTTTGAGCTGGCCCAGTATAAAAAAATTTGCCTGGTTTTTAAAAACTACTCAGACATCAGAAAATGAGCCAACTAGAATTTCACCAGAATTTTCTACAACATTCACTGTCAGGCTGAGAAATCTTGTCCCACCAAGAAATATTTTCAGAAATACAAACACCTGCAACTAGAGACTTAGAAAGAAAGCCACATAATAGTGTCACCAATGAAACACTAGTATTTACACTCACATGTGGACTAGTAAGACCTTGGGGCTTGATTTTCAGAAGCGCTGGGCATTCCATATAGCCGGAGCATATGGGAGCCAAAATCAGACCAAAAATAGAAGCATTGCCAAGCTCAAGCATTCAAAAATCATGAGTCAGCCCCCCCGCAATCATGAGATTTTAAAAGCAAGTTATTTTCCTTTGCCCTCTTGGGTTGGAATATCTAGAGTTCACATTTTCCTGCTTTTCTCAGCAACACGAGGGCTAGACATTTACTTTATTTTAAATGAAAGCTGTGATTCTTAGGTAATAACCTGACTCCAGCAGTTGGAGTTTCAAGACAAGTACTAACTATCTAAGACTCAGTGATAAAATGGCAAGAGTTGGGAACATTGTAATAGATACACAGATAATCTATGCTATCCAAAGGCTGTACATCCGTGTCTGAGTGTGCGTGCATTACATATACACAGAAACATTTTGTTTTTCTGCATTTAAAAAAAAAAGAACAAAAAAAACTTACTTTTGGCAAAGTTGCAGTGTGTGTGTGTGTAATGTGTCCTCTTAGCTCCGGTCACTATGACCAGGAATTTTTTGAAACATACAAAGATTTCACCAGCACAGTGTAAATATTGTACCTTCCAAGGTAAAGGTCAGTTTAAATGGGAATAATTAAAAACTACAAAGCTTCTTAGTAGAAGAGGGGGCAAGTACAATCACAGGTCAGCTAGAACCTTCCAGATCCCTAATAAATAAGGCAAATTGCCAATGCAACCACATACTTGAACTGAACGAGCCTTTCAGATTGCCCTATTCATCATTATAATTACTTGCATCCATACCACAATAACATATAGTCTTAAAACGAGCACAGGCTAGAAAATGTTGTGGAGCTGGAGATATGGGTCGGAGATAGAAGGAGAGAAAACGGGACAAAGATATGGAAGATGGGAATAAATAAATAAAAGGCACACAAACAACTTCCAGGGAGTTTTGGGGAGCGGGTTGTTGTTTGAGGAGTAATTTTTAAGGAGCGCAATGGTCTGCAGACCTCAGCTTACAAATATTGTGAATTTTGCTCTACAATTAAATAGACAATTTGTAATTTTCCCTTTGCTGATCAGTCATATTAATCATGTGGTTTCATTTCTGTTTCCTGATTGAACTAGCCAAAGCACACGTCAGATTGTGTATTTGACACAAAGATTGGCCATTCATACTCTGTTGGTTAATATGAAATGCAAGGCACTTATTTTACAATGAAAGGTGCCATCAGCCTTACAAAGTTCTACTCTCTTGGCAGAGTACTTTTTTTTTTTTGGACGGGCAAATAAAATCTCTTTCAGTTTTTATTACTGTCAATCATCATGGTAAAGGATGGGTGAGTGGATTTTGAGCTGGAGCTGGTAAATTTTTCAGCACAATAATGGAGGGCTGTAGTACAGTATGCAGTTCATTTGAATAGACAGGTGAAAAATTCACTTTTTGTAGTTGCACTAGTAAAGCTTGAACATTAGTGGAAAATAAACCTAAGTTGACTATGATTGAATTGAAATTTCCTTTAAAATTGATTGAACTTTTCCAATTTTGTCCGCTATTTGATCAGCTGTAGTTATTTGTAAGCTTTGTACAGCTCTGAGGCACTTGGAAATTCCTCACCCACTTGGAAGAGTCAGTTTAAAATTGAGATATGCACAGAACAAAAGGACTGTTCCACATTTAATGTAATAACAAGGTGTCAGTTATTCCTCACTGAAGAAAGCCTCAGATAATGTATTCAAATAATCCAGTTGCATGTGTTTCAGCCAGTATTTGACTACCCACAAACCAACTATGATATGGCAAATGAGTATTGCTTCTCAGCAAAACTCACAGTGAAAGGAATGGCCCTGGAATAGGAAGATTACTTGGACATAGGCCTGATTCTACAAACCTTTTCTTACTCAAGTACACCTTCCTCATGCAAACAGTGCAATTGACTTCAGGGGAATGCTCGTGTGACTCAGGGTTTATAGGCTCTGGCATTATTGTTGGATTATGCTGCGGTGCCTGTGTTTAGTTTGATAGACCATGTAGCTAGCATACACAGAGCATATTGCCATGAACAATATAGGGAACATAGGCCATATTTGGACTTGACTTGAGTAACTTTGGTTGGCCAAATGTTTAAGTTAGCATGATTAAGAGATGCTTGAAGCTGCTTTTTTGGTCTGTAGACAAAAGGTTGTTAGGACAAGGGCACTCATTTGCCGTAGACACTGCCTCCCTCATTTACACTACATTTCCAGTGTCATAACTAACTCGCTGTCATGAAAAGGTGTGGAAATGAGTAAATGTTTAAGCTTGACTAGTCATTAATTATATTTAAACAATCAA